GGGACAGAACCACTCAGAGCTGTACACAGACCACACTGGCAGAACCACTCAGCTGTAAGCACAGACAGTGGGAGGCGAAACTCTTCACTGAGCTTGTTTTCCTTGACACAGGCTTCCCGGGGGCAGGGGCCACCCCTGCTGCACTCTGGGACCCCCAGTGCTGTCCCAGGGCCTAAACCAACACCCATGCTCCCCAGGCCTGCTGAGCTTCACCCTCTGGAGGGAGAGTCCCTGAGAAATGCGGTGTCTGGTTTATGTCTAGGAGCACCATAAAGACTGTGTCCATGTGATCTCTAATGTCACAAGCTTTCCACATCAGGGCCCCAGCCTAGCACTGTAGGTAGATGCAGGTATCCCCAAGAACATCTCCTTGCTGTAGGGCCAGCACCCCCGTTACCTTGTCCTTGGGAGTCTGTTTCTTGATGACCTTGGCTGCCAGCTTGAGGCCCGTGGCTCTCTCCGTGCAGGTGCACACGGCTCCAAACTTACCACTGGGAAGAGAAAAAGTTGGAATGAGGGTACTTCCGAGACCCCAGGGATCAGCAAGGACCTGTGCTCCACTCTCTCTTGGCCCAGGCTTGATGGTGACTCCGGCTGGGAAAGATGGGAGCATTTACCCCACCAGCCTAACTCCCTCCCGAAGTGAGGAACTTTTGCCAAGAGGATGGCTGGAGAGCATGGTGCGTGGTGCAACAGACTGTGCGTTTCCTGTGGGAATGGCCAAAGGCACACCAGGAAATGTGTTTCCTGTGGGAATGGCCAAAGGCACACCAGGAAAGGATGTGCTGGGCAGCATGTGTGACCACAGAGAAGCTAGTGCATGCATGTGGGCCATGTCCTATAGGCGTGTCTGGGCCGCTGGAGCGGGATGCTTCCCCATTCGTGGTTCCAGGCTCCGGCCCCTGTCTCACCCTCCCAGCGCCTCCTTTGAGTTCATGCTGAATTCACTGTTGACATTTCCGGTTCTCAGCTCCACGATCCTGTGTGGGAAGGGGGCCGGGGGTGGCGGGCAATCATCTAAGGAGACAGAGTTGAGCTGTTAGAGCCAGGGTGGGAGGGACTTCTGGGGAATGTCTTTTGACACCACTGCCTCCTGCCTCCTGATCTGCCCCTAATTCCCCTCGGAAAGATGAGTTTACCAAGTGATGTCTGGGGGACACCTGGTCAGAACGGGGCACAGTTTCCAATTCTAGTTCTGCCGTGTACACCCAAAATCTGTCTCCATCAGGGGTAATTCAGGTGTTCTGCAGAACCATGAGACAGCTAGCTGACTGAATTTACACAAGCTCTAAGGCGAGGGAGGGTTGCTTTCATTAAACCCCCGCTCCAAACACCCAGATAAGCCCCACAGCAGAAGTGAAGTGGAATCCCAGACAGGGGGACCACTGTGCTGGAGTGGGGCGCCTGATTACACCACGGTGGGGCGCCTAGGACACAGCAATTCGGTGGTGACATGCTGCCACCTAGTGGGCATCCTGGAGACAGCCGGCTTCGAAGCCCAGCAGGCTGACTCATCGGAATGGAAATCTTTAAAAATAGTCAGAGTCGGCAGGGAAGCCACTCTGGTGATAAATCAGACAGCCCTTGGAGGTGGTTCAGGTTCTGTCATGCCAAGGATGTGATCTCTGTCGGGGCGGAGGTCTCTGTCGCCGCGGGGGCAGGAGGCAGGGCCCCTGGCCCATGCCCAGCCGCCAGGTCCTCCCACCCTGTCTGGGTGGCACTCTGCCGTGAGCCAGGCAGACTGGCTGGTCTCCCAGAGCACCTCAGTCTGGAGGAGGGGGTGTCAGGACACTCTGGTCTCTCCTGACCCTATGTCACCCCACCCCCCAGCCCGATGGCATCCCTGCTGGGACCCTTTCCCTCTTCCTGCTGCACAAGTTGACCCTCCAGCCACCCAGGGCTTTTCTGTGAGTCCTGTGGAAAGCTGCCCCAGCTTCCCTGGCCACTGGTCCCACACACAAACACCTGTGCAGCTCATGAAACTGCTCTGGCTCCCTGACACCCTGCCCTCCACCATTCACTCCCCTGCACCTGGGACTAGAACCTTTCCTCAGACAGAGCCCCAAATCCACGTCTCAGCAAGTTTGTGTTGCTCCGCTTCTGTGTAACTTCCTTTTTTAACCCATGTTAGCCCAAGTAGAAGAAAACCAAAAGTGGGTTTTTGAGCCGGACAGTCTTCACCATCTGTCTTTGGACATTTAGCTTCCCTTTTCCGTCTCTATCAGAAAGAAACACTACCTGGTGCCCTGTGACATTTGAACCAGGGAACGTGGGGGAGGCCTGGATCAGGGTGGTCCAGGCCCCTGCATAAGGAAAGATGCTTGGGACTCTTCCATCCCTTCCTCCCCCAATACCAGGGCACTCAGGCTCAGCCTGCCCCCACCTACCCAGAATTTGGAAACAGTCTTCCTCCCTGGCAGTGAAACAGAGGGCCTGCCCCACCTCCGCTCTCTCTGAGGGAACAGCCTGGAACTCGATCCTCTGGGAGGTGTCCCCTTGCACCTTAGCCTGGCCAGCCTGGCCTGGGGCTTTCTCTGCCTCTGCCTTCTGGTTCTCTTCCAGGGTGTTGGTCCTGCCTTCTGCCTTGGCTGGCCCGAGATCTCGGGAGTCGGGGGCCACAGATACCCCTGTAAAGATGAGTTCTGTTGTCTCGCTTAGGGGCTTCCCAGCCGGTGTCTTCTCAGAGCTAAAAAGTGAGACACCTCATACGGGTTAGAGGGTCCCAAACCTCACTAAGCTAAGACAACCTTGTCCTCCCCCACCCCAAATACATCTACCTACACCTCATCCACTTCAACTCATGACACACGAAATCATTGAGAGGATCTGACTGCCATAGTGTGGCTAATCCTACCGGCCGACAGGAAACTGTAAGGCTCCTGGTTCATAAAAGCCGTGGCATGTAACTGCCATTAATGTGTTACTATCATCAGACTGGTGGAGAAGTGGCACTATTGTGTCTACAGTTCAGGAGTGTCCAGTTGTGCAGAACTGATTGCATTCACTTATGAATGAACTCTTAGTCTCCTTTTCATATTAAACTAAAAAGGACTACTCTCTCCAGCTTGCTACTCGTGAAGCAAGCTGGGGACTAGAGGGAAAAAAAGCCTAGAGAAAACAACAACAAAAACCCAACATGTAGCCTGGGTGGCCTTTGGTGGCATCTCCTGTCTGGCATTCTGTTCTCTCAACCAAGGTAGTTTCCTGGTTTCTTTGGGGCCTGGGACAGAGCTGTCTTCTAGCACTAGCTGTGATAATGCCCAGCACTCAAGCCAGGGAGGGTAAGCCTGGAAAAGAGGACTACCTTCTGTCTCCCTCCCCAAGCAGGGACATTCACCATGAGATGATGGCCGGGCAGCTAGGGCTGTGGAGGAAGGCAGGTGAGCCTCTTCTTCCTGCTTCTCGGCCCTCTGCCGCCTTCCTGCCTGCCTTGGACTCTCCGGGTCCCTGGCTGCCGGAGGGTGCTGGCTTGGCATCCTGATTCTGGACGCTGGCCTCGGCTGTGGCAGTGGGCTGGGGTAAGGCTGCAGGAGGCCCCGCACTGCCTTCAGCAGGACCCCCACCCGTGTCCCCCTCTCCTGAAGGACCCTGACTGCTAGCTGAAGCTGGAGCCAGGACATCCTTTTTCTCTGGGGCTGGGGCTTTGACATCTTTCTTCAGGGAGGGTGGCTCTGGACCTTTCTTTGGGTCTGGAATACCAGGGTCTTTCTTCGTGTTAGGAGGGCCCAGATCTTTCTTTGTGTTAGGGGGCCCCAGGTCTTTCTTGGTGTTAGGGGGTCCCAGGTCTTTCTTGGTAGGGGGCCCTAGGTCTTTCTCTGTGGCTGGGGGGCTGGGGTCTTTCTTTGTGTTAGGGGGGCCCAGGTCTTTCTCTGTGGCTGGGGGGCTGGGGTCTTTCTTTGTGTTAGGGGGGGCCAGGTCTTTCTCTGTGGCTGGGGGGCTGGGGTCTTTCTTTGTGTTAGGGGGGCCCAGGTCTTTCTCTGTGGCTGGGGGGCTGGGGTCTTTCTTTGTGTTAGAGGGGCCCAGGTCTTTCTCTGTGGCTGGGGGGCTGGGGTCTGTCTCTGAAGCTGGAGGTCCATCACCTGCAGCACCTTTAGGTGTCTGTTCTGCAAAGGAGGGGGACATCCATCAGCATCCCCTCCCTTTGTCCCCTACAGGCTGGACAGAGACCCTCCCTGGGTCTCTACCCAGGAGCAACCTGTCAATGCCTGTCCCACAAGTCTCTGGAGCCGCTTGGTAGCAGATCTGCCAGGGACCTGGGGTCTCTGCGCCAGCCTCCGCCCCTCCGGGTGGGCTTTGCTGACCTCCACCACTCCTTGTCTGAAGAGAACCCCCAACAGCCACTGATGGAGGATTCCCATCTCCCCCGTCCCTCCAGCAAGGGCTCCATGCGGGCCCTGGACCCATTCCAACTCCACCCACAGATTATCCCCGTTCCCAAATCCCTCATGCACCGTGCAAAAAAACCTTGGGCACAGACTTCCCTGTGAGGAACCTGCCCAACCCTGGCTTCAAAAACATCCCTTCGGAAGCTCCTCCCTCCGTCTCCTGCCCCGGCTTGGCACCTGTTGACAGGCTCTGGATTCCCAGTTCAACTGCTCCGTTTTCTGTAGCCATGAGGTAGGTAGGCGTGTGCTTCTGCTTGTCTAACTCAAGTTTTTCTAGCTGCAGAAAGAGGAGTAAAGTGTATCAGGCTGTCAGATGTCCCCCTCTTTTCCAGCTTTGTAGGGAGAAGGCCAAGGCCAGGCAACTGGTAGAGATGTACCTGGATAGAGAGGGGCAACCTGATGGCCGGGCAGTCTGCAGCCGCTGCACAGACGCAATCCTGGGGTGGTTGTAAGGGATTGGGCCCGGTGGGCAGAGGCGGAGGCAGGGGCGTGGGCAGTGGAGGTGGAGACTAAGGGGAGGATCTTTGACACCAGGGGCTATGGAGTGCGGGTTGCCACCACCTGTCACTCTTGGCCCCCGTTCAGAGGACACGGCATTCTTCCCACGGCCTGACACCGGGTAGAATAGCGCTGGAACCATCAGGAAGAAAAAAGGAGGGGGTGCCTGGGCCCTGGGGAGCAGGCTGTGGCCAGGCCTTGCCGGGCATCCCCTGTGGCCAGCATAAAGGAAGGGCTACAAGAAGAGGGGCCCTTGGCGGGGCTGAAGGCCAGGCCTGGCTCTGCCCACCTCCATGCCAGGGAACACCTCTCAGTGTTCCCAGGAGCTTTGGGGAGTCACCATGGCCCCAGGGCCCAGCTCTGTGCCCCTGGTATCCGGATCTACTCAGATCATCTCTGGGTAAGAAACCATGCCAGGGTCACTTGCCTGCTTGTCCATAGGTCCACTTTTTTCCCCTGGGAAAAACTTCCTTTTCCCGAGTTCTTTGGGGCCATGGAGGCTTGCCTGAGCCACACAGGGAGGCCGGTAGAAATATAAGACGGCCCCCCTCAAGAAGGGGTTGATGGGAAGTTTCTTCAGGGATGGGGACCCAAGCTCAAGGTGCTGAGGCTGAGATGGGGCAGGGAGGACCATACTGCAGGGTACTCCCCCACTGCCCAGAGGCTGTCGGCCCACACTTTTCTGGGAGGGGCCATGAGCACTGGCCAAGGCCCAGTGTTGAAGAGGCTGTAGGGTAGGTGTCTGGGTCCAAATCCCAGATGAGGCAAATCTTCTGGTGGTTCACCATGCCTAGCCCTGGCCACTGCCCTGTAGGGGAAGGTTGGAGGCTGCCAGGAACTCAGTACCTCTCTGGGGTGGGGGAGATGTGTGGCTGTGAAATGGATCAGGCAGCTGATAAGGGACAGATAATGAAGTCACTTCCAAAGGAGGGAAAAATCAGGTGCAAAATAGCGCAGAGGTCTGTAGCCGCAAACTTCTTTAGCAGGGTAACAAGAAATCCATAACTTGGGTGGAAGGGAGCCATCAAGGCTTCTTCCCATCATTTTTTAAATTTCATTTTTGGTTTTTAGACAGGGTCTTGCTATGTGGTCCAGGGTAGCCTAGAACCCTAGAACCCTCCTGCCTCAGCCTCCAGCGTGCTGAGATGACAGACACATGTCACTCACATCTTCAAACTGTTACTGGTTTCCTGGAGCTTGAATTTCAAAATGTGTGATTTCTTTGAAAGCAGGTAAACATGGAGGGCGTTTGACACAAGCTAACAGAAGCCACCGCTGGAGCACCCGTCCCCATCCTGACTTGGTCTCCTCTCTGGGTCCGTCCTGGTCACTGTTTCTCTTCTTCAAGGTTCGGCAGACAACAAGCCTCTTTTAGGAAGCAAAAATAATCAATGTCTGCATAGCTCTTCCCCCATGAGGGGCTGGGCTGGATATGAACCTAACTCCACCTAAGGTAAGGAAGGGACTCCCAGCCATCAAGCACCTCCTGTTACTCATTGTCATTGGTGGTAAATGTGGGCCACACTCACCTCATTTTTCTGGAATGAGTGACTTGCCTAAAGCCCTCAACAGGGTTAGAAGGTAGAGATACAGGGTAGTAGAATGCTTCATAAATTTCACTCCCTTCTGCCATGTACATTCCATGGCATTCAGAAGGTTGAAAAATGTCTTCTGCCATCATCTGTGATGGGGACACTGTTGGCCCTCTTATTTGGCTATTTCCCTAGCATGGTTCGGCTTGCCTTGAAATATTGAATGTCTCCAGTGCTCCTTGGTGCCCCCCCAGGCTACCCCCATGGTGAGCTCACAGCCTAGGCATGGCTACATGGTACTTGTGTGTCCCCAGCATTACACGCCTGCCATAGTAGCCAAAGACTGGCTGGCGCCCATTCCTGATAATGAACTTGATGTCTATAACTATCCGGGAGCCTTCATCCTGGGACTGATGGAAGCAGAGGCAAACACACAACTAAGCACTGAACTGAACCCAAGGAACCCAGTGACAGAGAGAGAGGAGTGATGAGCAAATTGGCAAGGAATGGGCTGGCAAAACCAGCAGAGACGGCTGATCTGAACAGGGGAGTGCTCTTGGACCCCAGACCGACAGTGGGGAGGCCAGAATGGGACTGATCTGGACCCCCCAAATGTGAGTGTCAGTGAGAAGGCCTGGGCAACCTATGGGGCTCTGAGCTGTGGATCAGTGTCTATCCCTGGTATACAATCTGTCTTCATGTGCCTATGGCACAAAGAGAGATGCTCTCTCAGCCTGGACTCTTAGGGGAGTGCCTTGACCCTACCAAGAGTGAAATGATAGACTCTAGACATCCCCTATGTGGAGGGATTTGGCAATAGGGTGGGAGGGAGGGTGGAAGGGGAGTGCGGGAGGAGGGGAGGGAGAGGGAACTGGGATTGACATGTGAAACAAGCTATTTAAAATTAAAATAAAAAATGATTAAAAAAAAAAAAAAAAAAAAAAGACTGGCTGGCAAGGCTGGCTGTTTGGATTTCTCTGCTAGGATGGCCCTTGATGTCATCCTCTGGTTACCTCTGTGGTCACCTGTCAGACACTGAGCAAGGTCCCACTAAGAGTTTTCTTTTTGTCCAGCACTTACAGAAGAGTCATTAGAGTCGGTGTTTCACATAGTAAAGATGCAGAGACCGATGCTCGGGGGAGGTAAACAGTTTATCCCAAAGCCCCTAAGCCCGGTGAGTGGCTTCGGAATTGTCAGGTTTGAACTCAAAGCCACCTCTCGTCACGGCAGGCTTTTATTCTAATCGGTTGTTCTTGTTAGGATTCCCATGTAAGAACAACTAGCAGGAACTCTTGCGAAAGTCACTGTGGGTGGTGGGGGCGGAGGCTGATATCAGGGCGTCTTCTTCAGTTACTCCGCCTGATCTATGCGGGTTTTGTTGTTGGTCTTTGTCAACTTGATGCAAGCTAGGGTCACCTTAGAAGAGGGCACCTCAATTGAGAAAATGCCTCCATAAGATTCGCCTATAAGGCATTTTCTTGATTAGGGATGGGTGTGGAAGGGCACAGTCCACTGTGGGCAGAGTTATCCCTGGGCAAGGAGTCCTGGGTTGTATAAGAAAGCAGGCTGAAGCTGGGCGGTGGTGTGAACACCTTTAATCCCAGCACTCGGGAGGCAGAGGCCGGTGCATCTCTATGAGGTCCAGGCAGAGGCAGGTGAATCTCTGTGAGTTCGAGGCCAGCCTGGTCCACAGAGCAAGTGCCAGGACAGGCTCCAAAGCTACACAGAAAAGCCCTGTCTGGAAGAAGAAAAAAAGAAAAAAAAAAGAAAGCTAAGCAAGCCAGGAGAGCAAGTCCATGACCTCAGCATCAGTCCTCCAGGTTCGCGATGTTCCTTCCCTGCTTTCCCTTCATAGTGGACTGAAAACTGTAAGCAGAAACAAACCCTTTTCCACCCAAGTTGTTTTTGGCCATGATGTTTTATCACAGTAATAGAAAGCAAGCTATACAGAGTCTGTCACCAAGGGGCTGACTGGCCAAGGAGTCCCCCAGGATGCACCCCCTTTGCCACACCCAGCTTTTACATGAGTGCCCAGGATGGAACTCAGGTCCTCATGCTTGTGACACCAGCACTATACAGACTGTTCCTGCCTCGCAGCTGACCCTCTCTGTGGCCTCTGGCAATGTTCTCTGAAGAGTGGGTCTCCTCAGCCCCAGGAACATCCTGCCTTTAGTCTTGAAGCAGCCCTATGGGGTCACGGGGTCAGGGTTAGGAGCACAGCAATGGAGATCTCAACCACCAGCTATGAGGATGACATGAACCCCAGTGGTCTCCTCCTCTGCTGAGGACCGCCTGCTCATTAAGTGTTTAGAGACCTGTGAGCAACCAGGGTGGCTGAGGGTGTGTGCCCAGCCTGTGTATGTAAAGCACTTGGCCCAGAGCAAAGGAGCCTGGCAGTTGGTTATGTGGTGATGGGCACACATAGAGAAGGCCAACTTCTTTGCCTGCTCTACCAAGGGTGTCTTCTGCTGGGATGGGAGGCAGGCATGGTTCTGATCTGTGTGGGATGGCCTGGTCTTGTCAGCTGCTCACAGGGAGTCCCCAGGCTTCTCAGCATTCTCTTGGAGGCGCAGGGGAGGGGCACAGGGGAACCTCCTCAACCCTTCGAGAAGCTGCCAGAACCCCTGCCCACCTAACTCATGAAGGGGTTTCCCTGCCCTGTGCCAGCTGCACAGACACCCTCTGCCTCTGTGGGGCCAAGGCAGGAGGTGGGACAGTGCCAGGCCCAATTAAACCCGCCAGGGGAATTAAGGTCAGCAGGATGCAATTATGCCTGTTGGATTTAACAAGGCCAGAGGGAAGGCTTCTCTAGCCAGAGTTCACGGCTCCTTAGGCCACTTGCCCTGGGCAGCTCTGCCTTCCAGGAGCGCATGCTCCTGCCCAACTCCAGGCAATCTCATTGGGAATGCAGGGGTTAACTCCACCCAGCACTCTTCTTGGCTCCCTAAAGGAAATCAGTCTGTCCAAAAGGCTTTACAAGGACCTACTTGAGGAGACGCTCCCCCACCTGACCCTTCCCCTGAGCTCGCTCTGCTGTGATGGAAAATCCAGGCAGTTGAGCAATGGCCTTTCCCTTGCTGCGTCCACTCCAAGTCTTCTTTGAGAGCCACTGGGGCTGTCATCAGCACATTGTTTTCCTTACCGTCTCCCACTCTGAGCCTTGTCAGTCCCTCTCAGTCAGGCCTGTGAGAAAGCTCTGTCCCTGCTATAGACCCTGTCCTCCTTGCTGAGGTCGGTGAAGGAGAAACATCAGCCGCCATTCTGAGTCTCTTACTCGTTTGGATTTTGTGGCTTCTTTTCAATGACCCGTTGTAGCTACGATTGGATGAATGCATAAGTGGAAAAACATGTCAGCAAGGGCTCAGACAGAGCACAGTAGGGTGATGCTGAGGTCTGGAACACAGGAAGAGAATTCTGGAACGGGTGGCCAGGGATGAGATCTCAGCAGAAGGCATAAGGCCCACTGCTCCAAGCTTCCTCAATGCCTAAGCTCCTGGAGTTGGTTTCAGACAAGGGCTGCTTGGAATGGGGTACCAGGAATTTGTCATTTTGAGCAGCGCTTCAGATGGTGTGTAAGCAAACCCAAGTTGGAAGATTGCCACACCAGAGACCCACTCACTAGAAGGCCTTGCCAGAGGCTCAGAGAGGGCCAGCTGTGAGGAAGGCTGTCTCCTGGTAAGTCCCATTGGTATAGTCAGAGAAAAGCTCTGAGGACACACCCTTGTCCTGTGAGGCCATGCTTCCTAGCCCAGATGCACACAGAAGCACTTGTGTCTTCCATAACTCACAATGTCCCTGCTCCTTGAACTCAGCCAATTTGATCAGAGGCTGAAGAAAGGGGCATCTCACCAGAAGAATCTGAGGTGCAGTTAGAGGCTGTCCTGGGGGGCAGGGGCTGCTTCTCCCTTGCCTTGAAGTCCCTCTAGGGTTGGGATAAAGTGACCCCTGTGTCAGGTATTATTTTTGACTTGTATGGGGCGTGTACACATCCCCATATCTGAGACCTCTGGAAGCCCAGTGTCCCAAGCAGTACATGGTGCCACGTGGTCCACATTAACAGGCTGACATCCATAATGTGTTGACTCTGTGCCAGAGGCAGTCGGCTTAGCTCCCCTCAGCATATAAAGTAGATGTCATAACATTCCCTTTTCTAAGAGGAAACTGAGGCAGAGGAGAAGCTGACCCAAGGCTTCAGAGACGGGGCCAGAATTTTAACTCAAACGTTCCCACACAGGCTTCATTTCCACTGTGTACCAGAAGTAAAATCCAGTGTGAAGAAAATGAGACCCAGGGATGGCGGCACACGCCTTTTACCCAGGGATGGCGGCACACGCCTTTTACCCCAGGGATGGCGGCACACGCCTTTTACCCCAGCACTCAGGAGGCAGAGGTGGGCTACATAGTGAGGCCCTATCTAGAAACAGTAAGAATATTGAGACATTGTCAACTGGTGGCCCCATTAGGAGTTCTATTAATACGGAAGAATGAATACTCTTTCTTCGGCATGGCTCTGGGACCAGAGAAGCCAGCCCAGCCCCTCCTCTACTCCTTCCCCCACCAGTCCAACCTCTGCAGCATAAACAGCAAAGCTAAAAATAGCCTCCTAATGACGTCAGAGGAACAAGGTCATCTGAAAATTGCCCACAGCCACTGGACACCTCCCTATAGGATCAAGTGGCAGGAGGGTACCCCAGTCCGGTGCAGCTGTTCCAAGAACAGGAAATGTCCCGGGAGCAGGCTTGAGCACAGCGCATGGGAAGGTAGGGACAGCAGGGTGAGGCATGGATGTGTCACAGAGAAACGGGCCGTGCAGAGTGCAGACCCAGGAGTTAGTAACCTGACTTTGTTCTGGGAATTATTCTCAACACATGATCCCAGGAAATGGCTCCAGAACTGGGGAATGCTTGTTCTGTCCTGTTGT